AAAAGGCGATTATTCTACATACTTTGGGTGTCCCCGTAGGGATAAGGGGTGTTTCGGACCCTCGGCAGCCTCGTACTTACAACCCTTCGACACTTACACACCCCAACGCCCTGCGAGGCAAAAAGAAGGCCAAGAAGAACAAGGCTGCCGCCAGGGCCAAAGCCGGCGCGAAGCTGCTGGATTGCAGAGTGGTGTAGGGTTTAGGGTTTACGGTTTAGGGGTTTAGGGTTTAGGGTTTACGGTTTAGGGTTTAGGGGTTTAGGGGTTTAGGGTTTAGGATTTAGGGTTTTTCGGTACCCTCAACCCTCAACCCGAAACCCCAGAGGTTCTTGGCTATCAAACCCACATCCCGGGTTTCAGATCAGGAGAGCTGTGTGCAAGTCTTGTTGCTGTACAGGGGGAATATAGGGGTCTAAACAATTACCAACAGAACAAAATAGGGGGTTCCTCATTATAGTTATAGACTAATAATATGCCCGAAAGCCGTGTTCTAATTATTAAGGCCCCTATATTAAAGGGGTTCAGAAGCGGCCGAGAGAAGGTCGAGACTTAATGAACCAAGATATTAAGCTCCACACCTTAAAACCTGTCGCTGAATCCTCCGCTTGCCAAGACGGACACATCTTGGCTTTCTTCTTCACAACTCATCCTACCAGACTTCCTTCTATTTCTACGATTGCTTTTGCTACTGCTCCTGCCACTGCATACCCCCGAAACCCTGCAGCCCTGAACCTTGAAGACCCTAAAGCCCGACAGCCTCTCAGTAAAATTCGGAACCAGTGCAGATAATCCAATATCCTAAACTTCACCCGAAGCCCTCAACCCCAAATACAAAGCCACTCACAAACCCTCTGGCCCAAAGCCTGAATCAAACAAAGGAAGCCACCTGAAACAGCTTGAGCTCTCAGTTTCTCAACCTCAGGAAGGGCCAAAAGGGCGAAGCACCCGTGGAGGTGCTGAAGGTCGCACTTCCCGGCACAGAGGCCCGAGGAGGGTTTAGGGTTTCGGCAATCGGTCGTGGTCATTGTGCCATGTTGTCGCTCATTGTTTTCTGTGTGTCTTGGTCGTTCATGTTTTGGGCAGGAATTATGGTGATTATACAAGAGCTTATGTTAATGACGTTTTTGAGTGTCGCTTGCTGAGTGGGTTTCGAGCAGGATCTTACCTCTGGGTGTCTCGACCGCATGTATATATGTATGTATATGTATGTATATATATATATATATATATACACACACTTGTTTTATTTGTTTACTTTCTTCTTCATTTACACATACATATTTACACATATACTCACATACCTACAGACACACCCACACATGTACGTGCACACACACACACACGCATGTATACATATATATATATATTTATATTTATATTTATACACACGCACATACACGTGTATGTATATATATATATAGATATGTTTACGTACATATGTATACACACACATACACATAATCCAACGGTCATACGGTTTAGGGTGTAAGGTTGAACATTGAAAGGTGCTGGGTTCAGAGCTTTGTGCGTTTAAGGACTGAATTGGGTCCTGAGCTTAGGCGTATGCATGTAGGAATGATGCCTTACGGGGAGCAGGGTGGTCTTTAGTTTGTGTCTGCATTTCCATACTTGGACTCATTCTATCGAGGGCTCAAGGGCTTTCCTACTTTGTCACAGCTACCGTAGCTTTGTTTTCTGGACTTCGGGCCTTGGATTCTCGACCCCTGTGTGTGCGCGTCCGGGTGGTTCATGATGATGGTCTGTTGGGCATTCGTCTTTTACGGTGTGGGCGTTCGGAGACGTTTAGTCACACCGATAGATGGATAGATTTGAATTCAGGCTAGTGGCTGGGGGTGCTGGGTGAGCAGCTCGGGCATTACATCTCTGCTTTGGACTTGTGCCTTAGCACGTGCCTCAGCGCTGAATATCACGACGAATGCTCCGTGGCAACTTGAATCATAGCAATGTTTAAATCCCGCAGAACTTCAGACCCTAAATCCATTCTATCAATTAACCCTAACCCACCAGGTACCTACTATATAGGGTACCAGAGCCCCTAAGGCCCTAAGGCCCTACATAGTAGGTACCTGGGGGGCTTAGGGTAACTCAGGCCCATGAGAGTTCCTGGATGACTTGCCCGGATCCCGGCCCCCAAAGCAAACCTGCCGAAGGCCGATGCTGAGGACGACAATGTGGAGATCGAAGAAGAGGCAAAGATGTGTATGTATGTATGTATGTATGTATGTATGTATGTATGTATGTATCTAATTATGTATATATATATATACACATGTGTATTTGTTTGCGTATTTAGTTAATTGTTTTCGTTCATTTGTTTACAGATGATACCGCAGGTATATACATATACATATATATATATATATGTACATGTATACACACTTGTGTCAATAAAACGATGACAACATACAATATAGACAACATTGTATAAGAAGTACAGCAATATCTAACCTGATCTAATCTAATCTAACCGAATCAAATACAACACATTTCTGTACAGAGATACAGTGTATCTGTGTATCATGTATACAATTATACTTTAGCTATATAGATAGCTAAGATAGATGGGTTTTCGGATAGGAAGGGAGCTTAGGATTGCCGGTGGCGGGTCAGAAGACGACGTTTCATGGTCACTCTGGCGCAGTCCAGCGTGTCATGCCACAACATGCCAGATTCCCACAGCATGGCGGGGAACCATCCAAGCGTTCAGCGGGAAAAGGCCTTCAGCAGCAACTCCGCCCTGAAGTCCTAAACTCTAAACCTCATACAGAACTTAGAATGGGAAATCTCCGGCCCCGCGATCTTCAGATCGGGTTCCGAGAATCCGTTCTTGAAGTAAGAGAAGTAGCAGCTGCACTGCGAAGATATTCGTGACAGTGATCATCACACCCGTAGGAGTCCGCATCATGTCTACAGTGCTATAGAAACCAACCGTCATCCTCACGAAAAGTAGCCCAGTGTGGCACTACGCTCTGAGACCTCACACAAAACCGCTGTGACCTGAAAACTAAAACCCCCTGAACCCTGAACCCTAAACCCTAAACTTGGTACACTTCAGAGGTCGCCTCCGAGCCTTCTGAGATCAAGCTGGAGGAGGCTGACAAGAAGGAGTCTGAGGAGGACTGTGGCAGAGATGCTGGGGACTCCGGGAACAAGGAGATAGAATCTGCAATGTAAGGGAGGACGAGAGAAGATCCCTTGCAGGCAGAGGTGGAGTAGGAGTATCATTGTTTGCGGCTTAACCTTTTGCTGCTGCTCCTCCTCCCCTCCGCCGGCTTTTGCAGCGACTGCTGCTTCTGCCACCACCACCACCACCACCACAACAACAACAACAACAACAACAACAACAGCAACAACAAGGAACAAACAAAAACA